ACACAGTTATAATAGGAGAGACAATCTATGAAACTGGTTCATTTTAAATTCGTAAGAAGTACTAATGAAAAGAACTAATACAGCCGGTAAGTTATTAGAAAAATATTAGAAAAATCGTATTAGAAAAATCTATGAATTCATGCATTCATGATAGATAAGGGAAATTAAAACGTGTTGTGTACAAAATCAGATTGCTGCCTTAGTTGAATGTTTAAAAATTACCTTTTTTATTTCAGTAGTAGCCAGCTCTTTTAATTATTTAACTAGTTCTTTTGAAGAAATTTTATTATTAAACTGATTGTATATCTTCTGACGGTAAAAAATAGCATTACATCTTGAGCAATTCGTTTTTAACATAGTTTTAATTGTCGTTTTTGTCAGGGGGGAACCTGCTGTCTTTAGCATTAGAATTTTATCAGCGTATTCCCTCGCGTACAATTTCAGCAATGTTTTCAAAATTTTATCTCGCATACATTCAAACTGACACACGCTGTTATAGAATTAGGAGTCTAAGGGTCAATGGACACTTCTGTCAATCTTTTCTCATTGCAGATGAGAAAGGGAGAAAATTCCTACGGCGAGTTGAACTACTTAAGGTCAAACATGAGTGAGAGTACATCAAATGAGTTATTTTTTTGCTGCACGTCTTCCATAATATCGAAGTTCTGGCCTGTAAAGCTCCGAAGATTTTTGTCTGATAACCCAGGGAAAAAAAAAAAGAAAATTTGTAGCAAATAGCACACTCTCTAATTTCTCTTATCATAATTTCCTGACCATAACACAGTATGTTGCAGTTTGCATGCATTCACTTTATGTTACTTTATGTCAATTTATGTTATAAAAGGAAAGGAACTATATGTAATATCTAAAATTAGTGTTTTTGAGCTTATTTCTTTATACCACAGCCATAGATCATTCACAAAATGACTATAAATAAAATGCTTCACCGCCCTTACCTGCACAGGTTATAATGTTTCATGTATGTTCTGTATATTACAATTCTTTTTATGTTTATTCGTAATAAAAGAAATCTTACTCATTTGCACAAATATTGGTACAGTTTAGGAAAATATTTACTTTACATTTATATATCTGTTAAAATGTTTTCTTAAAGATCTAATTGTAGCTAATCAATGTTTTTAAAAAATATATATGTATTGTGTTTAGGATGTAAGAGAAATTTGTATAGCTGATCTCATCGGCTTGGTTTTTAACATGTGCTTGCGTAAGCTCACCAAACATCATTCTCCCACTACAATGTGATTTTTTATGAAATAAGTTATTTATAAATTACGCTTACAGCAGATATTGCGAGATGCCAATAAACTACCTGTAGTGAATTCCTGTCACGATGATTTAGAATCTGTTACTGTTATTAAAAAGAAGTATCTTCAAATACAGAATATCAGGTGTGTCATTTTTTAATACGTCCCTCTTACATCACCAGCGTAATCAATCTTTTCTTTTTGTTTAAGTACATCACTTAAAAGTTTTATCAATAGCTGAATTTTTTCCAGATAATAAACTGTATTTGTGTTAACTTTGATTTGTTAAATTTGAAAGAGACAAAAAATATTCGGACGTGCTTGGTCACGTATGGAATAACTGGCTCAATTTATTGAAACCTGAAATGACTGGCGAGCGTTTCTTTCTATAGCTCTAGAAAGACAACGAAAGGGATCGCAAAGTTGGGGTTGGAACAAAAGGCTTAATGTTCAGCAGTCGTTGTTGTTTTCATCTAATCGCGTGGACAAGCGTGAGCATTGACCTTGGTGCAGTTCAAACCCTGTCGAATTTTGAAAAATCGATGTACTTATGCTTGCTGCTGGCCTCCATGTATTGTTGGCCGGAACTTAAAGACAACGGTAAATGTAGGAGCTGGAGAATTTCTGCGTGTGTGTTTGGTTGTTTCTTTTAATCCCCAATAGGAGAGTTAACGGTTGATGTACTTCCGGTTAAGGTTGAGAGTGGGATTATGCCATTACACGTCTTGTTCTCTTTTTTTTTTTTTTTTTTTTTTTTTTTTTTTTTACATTGTGACAGATGTACAAAGTCGTCTATTGAACTCACGATATTTCATTCTTTCATATTGTCGCGAATACTGAGACAGTTTATTTTTAATTTTATTTTACTCTATGTAAACTGCTGCTTTTGTGCACAAATGAAGAACTTATGCAGATTACTGTAATATGCAGGTATTTAATCGAAGGTTTACAGGCTCATTTTAATTAAAATAAATGTCGACCGGAAGAGGGGGACTTTTAAACACGACTTCAAAAAAAGTTACAATTAAATTGTTCGAGCAGCTAAAAATGTTTATCATGATTATTTAATTTCTCAGTTTAATCATATTTCCTGTTCCTATTGAAAGAGAGTTAAATTATTGAAACGAGACAAGTACTTTTGATATTAAAGAGGTAAGAAAGATAATTACCAGAAACGTTTTTTAATCAAATTCTGTCTACTTTAAGTGGGTAGAAAAACACATATAAATTCAAATCTGTTGTCTAATTTTAACTATCATATAAAGATCGAGATAAATTAAGAAAATTAATCTGTTTTTCGATTGCATAATTAAGTCAAGCTGAAAAAAATCAAGGTATGCTGTTATAATCTATTTATTACTTTAAAACAAGCACTGCAAGGCCTTTCACACTCTCGTATTTTCTATCATCGTTCGTGTTCAAGTCAGCCTTCATTTACACTCATTTCACGAAGCGAAGCAAGCTAAACAGAAATGAAGTGTGTGTGTGGGGGGGGGGGAAGAATTAAGAGATCCGACCTTTTTTCTGCACTGCTTTCTCTATGGTTACGAGTTAAATTGAATACCTGAATATAACCTTAAATTGAGTACCTGTCATATTAAAAGTTCCTATTTTAATATGACAGACTATCGCTTTCAATCTAGTGATTAGGACAACCATTTAGGAATTGAAAGAAGAAAAAGGTGAAGGAAGAGTTAATTTTTTATATCTTGTTTTGCGAAACATTTTCATCTGAAATCTCCTGATGACAATGAGTGGCGCCGGAATAAAATGTGGTGGACGATAATTCATCATGACCAGGATCTGGCCGACTAGTTCGCGTTCCTTTCTCACAGTCGCGCTGTAAGTGCGGGGATCAGAATATAAGAAAAGGAAGTATTCCTCATTTATATGTCCTTGCTGTGCAGTGATAGGGCAATCAGGTAGCAGGTGTAAGATCGCTGCTCTCTTAGAGGATACAAATTTTTGTGTTTGCTGCTCCCAAAAAAATCCAATAATTTCTCCAAAATTAACAAAATTAATGAGAAACGCATTCAAGAAACGAATACTGATAATTATGATCTATTTCTGTTGCAGTGTAATAAAAAAAAGCTGCATATAATATTCGGAAAGCTTTTTTTTTTGTTATTTATTTAAGATGATTTGTACATAATTAGCTTTATAAAAAAATAAAGTTAAGCAATAATGCAATTTTATAACTAAGTGGATAGTAAATGTATTGTAGAATAAAAATTAATAAACTAAACGCATTTTACAGTAAATTACTATAGTAAATCCTGTAAATACCTGGGCTTCGATTGAGATGGAATTATGCACTTCCCTTAACAAGTATTTAAACGCTGAGCAACAGAGACCGTTATTTAATTCCAGATGTTTTTTACTTAAAGCGGTAGTTCGAGCGAATTCTTCGTTGAGCTTTAGCAGAGCGATTGGAATCCGCCTGTATACGCCCTTGACAACGTATTTATAACATTTAGATCTATCATTACTTCATTTTGATATGATTCACTCGCACACATTTTTTCGTACTTAAATATATTAATATATATTTTTACTAAGTTACGCATTTGCTTACGTGTTATTTATGAGCGGTAAAAGAACAAAATCATTTTAGTGAAAGTAAATAAAATAAGTAAATTGATACCAGAAATTATTGGGAGGCTACTACTTGTTAACGGCATATTTATGTTTTATATATATGGATAAATGCCAGATACTATATTGGAAATGTCACATATTTATACGTGTAATAATATGAACTAATACATGTATTTTGGTTTAAAAGTAACATATATCAATTGGGATGAAATAGCTAGATTAAAATAAGGAGCCGAAAATACAATAATTTAAATGCATTATATAAAATCAGTCATCATTGTAAATTCGTAAGATATTTTTTATGTTTTTTATTGTATAGGAAGATAATTACAGTGCACTTGAGCTCTTGGGACTAAAAATTAGTCATCATTGTAAATTCGTAAGATATTTTTTATGCTTTTTATTGTATAAGAAGATAATTACAGTGTACCTTGAGCTCTTACATGCATAAATACAAAAGGTTTAGTCTATATTTCTTTTATAAGAAGACATTCCTTACCAAATTTTCATTTTTGAATATCAGCTAAAAAAGGGTTATCAATTTATGTACTGCATTATGGAAAACCCAAGTGGAGGCGCAAATGAATTTTGTAATAAAGCTGTATTCTAATTTCAAAAGAATATCGAATTTAGAATAGTAATACTACAGCTTCGGATAGAAGATAACTGTTATTTCAACAGTTTTTGTCACGGATTTTGCGGGCTACCTCTATAATGTTACCTAAAATTACCGTGAGATATATGAGAAAGGTAAAATGAACAAAAATAGATTTAAAACATAAAATGAACGAAGGAAAAGAGCAATAAACTAAACAAAAAAGAGGAGACTTCCCTAAAACAAAGCAAATGAGCGACAATGAGAAAGAAAAAAAGGCAAGAGAGGAGGAGAGATTCGGAGATTCCCTTTCTCTTTCTACCATCCAGATCTATTGGTCCGCATCAAGCTATCTCCCCACCTCCACCACATTTTTCAGCAACCAACCGCGCTTGTGTAACCCCTCTGTTGGATTGGAGATAGAACAGTGGCTCCCCCATATCGAACCACCAGAAAAGTAGAAAGAAGTAAAGAAATAAAAAATAAGTGAAGCCCGTGGCCCTGAAAAAGGCCCAACCCTGACATTGCACTGCCATAAAACAGTCACCCTTGAAAGAACCCGCAGCAGTTCTGATCATCCCAACATCGGCTTCGGTAGAGAAAGTGGTTTTCCACCAGTTTGTCCGAAGCATCGCAGAGCAGCGCGTCACTTTCCCTTCGCTCCCATCACTTCCTGCTAGGGGTGAACTTTCTCTTTCGACAGGTGAGTGAAGGAGACAAGTAGCGATCATAAGATTTCAAATTATACAACGCTTTACGACCTTTCTGGCAACAGTTTGAGACTGCAGAGTCTGTTAAGATACTAATCAGGTATGTTTGATTAAATTCATTTCTTGAATCACGAAATAAATTCCTTTTCTTCACGACTTTAATAATTATGCTTTATCTCAGAACTATTCGCTTTTGTTTTAATTTTACCTTAAAAGGCAGGCGCACTTCAAATAAATATATAATTATTTTTCAAATAGAACAAAACTTTGAACAGCATCCAAATATGTAAATTTTAAAACATTCTTAAAATGTTTTCGAAACAACTCTCACATTAGAAAGTACTAAATTTCTAATCGACCTTGAAGCTTGATACTGTTCATAAATTCTCTCAATAACACAGGTTAATATGCACTATAAAAAAATTCAAATTAATTTTTTTTCCTGTAATCTTCTTTATTTAGTGTGGAATAGAATGCGTTACTCATAAAAGTATTCTCTGACTTCTAATTTTCTTCTCCCGAAGAATTTTCCGACAAAATTCCTTAAAAGAACTGTGGTATGTTTAAATATCGATCACGGATGATATAAAATAGCAATGGCACATTTGTTACTTTAGCAACTTTCGTAGCGATATATTCTAGTATGATTTACAAATAGTGTAAGAACAGACTGAAAGATTAATCTTCATACTGAATTTTAAAAAAATGATTTTCAAAACAGTTTGTTTCAAAGAATTTTGGACTGATTCGAAAATACTTAAACATCTGTCGTGCAAAGAAAAACATAATAATAATTAAATAGTCATTATTTTAATAAGATTCATAGCTCTTTATACAATTAGTATTGAATAATAGTATAAAATAGAATGAAACGTTAATATTCCCGAGGAAATAATACAAAATAAAAAAAATTCGAAACATTTCAAGGCAAAATTAGGAAATAACAGATATTACAGATTAACAGGTGTTCTTTGCCCGCTCGAAACTAAGTTGAGAATCATGTGTTTTAAAAGTATACATCTTTTTCTTCGTGAAAACGCAGTTCGTAGCAACAATTTACAATCTTGTTTTGCGCACTTAGATCGCTTTATTTTCGACGCAGGAAAAAATTATTAAAAAATAAACGCTACCTGAAAATAAAATTAAAATTTTGATAAAATGGGTATAAATGTTCCCTGCAAACGTTTCTCAGCTGTAAAAATTATAAATCGATTGGTGGGAGTTCTCGTTCATCCTCAAGAAAGTGCTTCACTTTTCCTTAGGATATTAATCATAACACGATAGAACAATTTATAATGTTTCAAAGCGTACAGAACGATGTAATAATGTAAGGCACCGTTTTGCAGCTGATCATCCTTGAGCGCACGACACAGCGCTTAGATTCCGGTTCCTTGCCTCATCAACTTTTACTCTCTTAGATACATTAAAGGGTTAGACTAGAACTAGAAGAGAAACACGCTAATGTGACAATCAAAATCGTAAAAAAAAACAACCTTATATTTAGCGTAGGTATAATAATAAAACAAACTCACTCAATCGATTTCGAGGGCAGCTAAAGGTCCCTCCTCATCAGGAGAAAGAAATACATAGAAAGAAGAAAATAGGAATCACAGAAACACGTGGTGCTTATCATATCAGCACTGCACGTGGTTATAACTAGATTTTTAATCAGAGTTGCACTGCACTGCCCGCCTACTTTTACTGAGCCAGGCCAGGCTGTCTGATCAAGTATAAAGAAATATTAGCGAAGTTAAAATAGGGAGCGAGGGGCAAATGCACATTACGCTCATTTGAAGTTCAGATTTTGAGCGTAATGTGCATTTGCCCCTCGCTCCCTATTTTAACTTCGCTAATATTTCTTTATACTTGATCAGACAGCCTGGCTCAGTAAAAGTAGGCGGCCAGTGCAACTCTGATTAAAAATCTAGTTATAACCACGTGCAGTGCTGATAAGCACCACGTGTTTCTGTGATTCCTATTTTCTTCTTTCTATGTATTTCTTTCTCCTGATGAGGAGGGACCTTTAGCTGCCCTCGAAATCGATTGAGTGTTTCATTATACCTACGCTAAATATAAGGTTGTTTTTTTTTACGATTTTGAACATTAAAGGGTTATTCAACATACAGGGATTAATAAACGACAGCTACTGTCTGAAAAAGCACTAAAGCGAGAAAATCAGCTCAGCAGAAAGCGTTTTCTACTATTTTGTCTTCAGTTAAACGTTCTTGAATGATCTTATGAGGATCTTTTGCTTTGAAAAGCGATCATCAGTAAGTAAACATATAATAGTTAAATTCGTTTTTTACAGTTTAAATGCATACCATTTTTATTATATACAACAAATTATTTCTTTATATAGAAATTAATAAAGGACTTAAATTAATAAAAGCGCCTGAAAAAAGCCACAATAGAAAACCTGACAAAAAATCTAAATTAAGTTTAAATGCTATACATTTTACAGTTTTACACAATTATTGGTAAATTCAGAAATGAAAATGTTCGTTATTATTCCATAGTTTCTAATTTTATTGTCTAACAATATTTTATTAAAAGATTCAAACTTATTTCTGGCAGAGTTACAATACATATTACACTGCTTTAAATTAATCATACGAAAAAATTTCAGGAATTTACTAAATTACGAATTTGAAAGATAAAATGCTACCTTACTAAGGGCAAACCTTTGCTTTTCTGAATTCAATCACACAGAATTTTCAAAATTTTAACAGAAATTTCATGATCAAATCATTTTATTATTTCAAGATAACAAAATTAAATATTGCATAACATTATCGTATTCAAGATTTATTATTCATAGCTGTGTATGACAACATGGTCTAATCGAACAGCAAAGCATAAAATACGTATCGCACGAAAGCAAATTACAAACATTTACTCAATATTTAGAATGAGATCATTTTGGTAACTAACAAATCTCAGTAATCTTGTAACAACGGATTATTCTACATGCTAAATTTTAATATTGCATTTCCCTTTTTTTTATGTTGTTGTATTGGTATTTATTTTTTAGGTTTGTAATTTAATTTCACTTTTTTAATATACTGCAATTTAAAATTATGATTAGTTAGTCTGCACCAGTTCCACCGCAATGTACTGCAGAATAAAATATGAACTGAATTTGAATGTCATATTGAAGATTTGATATTTCGATCTAGTAGAAAGCTTTAAAAATCTGAAAAACTGTGATCTTATCAGAAAATTTTTCAATTTAAAATAGAATTGTTTAAATTTGTACTTATTTTAAAACAGCTTAGTTTATTTTAATCTTTCACTCATTTAATTATTTCAAGCGTATACTAATTGTCTACATACATACAGAAAGCTAGTTATTCAATTAAATGTAAGATCAGTTATTGCCTGGAAAGAAAGAACGGGCCTAAAAATTAAAGGAGTTGGATATATCTAAAAGAAATTTGTCTACTCCAGTTACAGAGTTACTACAATTTAGTTTTCTACTAAATTGTAAAACTACTATAATTAGTTTACTACTACAATTTATGCTTTCCCAGAATTCTTCTCAGAATATAATATATTGTGAAACACGTATTCTCTGTTCCATTACGCTGCAGGATGGAACTTCAAAGATATTTTAAATTACATATATTCTGTTAATATTTCTACTAAAGTCTAAGGATCAAATGTATGGGACAACTTTCTAATTCCCATAGCAATTATACTTACAACTATTTTTTCACTCAATGAATTTTAAAAGAAATTTAGAAGTACCATCACAATGATGTAAAATTATGCAGTTTTAATGCTAAAATAAAATTTTGTGTTGCCATGCTAATCACTTTATTCGCGGCATTGCGAGAAGCATTTCTAGTAACTTATTATTTTCCTTTTCCTGACATCAGATTATGTGACTTAAATATGAAATAGTTTCAGAATATTTCTGCTCTGCTCAAAGCCTTTTCCTTTGTTTACTTCCGACGGTGATTCTAGCCTCGAAGTAGGGGAATGATACGACTTTGACACGGAACTGAAAGGGATGTCAGACTTGTCTTATAATACAAACACTTCGTATCCATTATTCATTCTCAAGATGTAATATGTTGACTTTTCTAGGTGTTGAATATGCTCAACATTACATAGACAATTGAAACTGTCTTATACTTCAATTAGGAAACATTTAAGTGTTTGATCACTCCAAGATGTATGCATTTTGATGTTTTCGATATGCAAAATCGTGTTTATGTACACAAATGATAATCAAATATGTATTCTTATGACAATACCCCTTAAGTCATAGCTGTTAGAAGAATGCTTGTTGTTGGATTACAAATGACAATGTAGAATGCAGAACAAGAAAAGTGATTCAGAATTGTAGCATATGAAAATGTGTTGAGAGATGAACATAAATACCTTTTATTTGCGAATGAGCTTTCTGAAACCAGTTCAGGTGGTTGTCAGAAAGTGACTATGAGCATTCCATACCGTAGTGGGGTAATAATATGTTTTAAACTTCATTGATGAAGCAATGTATCATGGTGGCATATTATATCTGTAAATTATACCACTATCTTAGATAACTTTCTTTTTGAAAACAGAATTATGTAATAGATTAAATTAAATTATATACCGCTACCCATATTTTTACAAATGTTTTGCTGCTAAGGAATAACATGATTCCCACGTAAGTTTAAACTCTAATTAATCTTTCTGAGTGTAAATGTAATTTTTTATTGATTATTATAAATATTACATTACATAAATATTGCCTATGAATGTAAACATATTCAGCATTTCTTAAAAATCCTTGATTATCAAATTAAATTAAAACTGCTATTTATTAACTATATATTTTATTTTTCAAATAAGTTTTCTAATACTAAAACTATGCAATATATTTTTCCAGAATGAGGCATTTTTGTATTGAATAACATCACATATTTAAAATAACATAAAAAATGTAAAATGAGGTTTTTCAATGTAGCAAAATGATTTATATCCATACCTAACGTTTGCATAATGTTGTTTTTTAAAACCATCATGTATGCTCACCTTTCGCATTTCCCAAAAGCGATTGCTCAGAAAATTGTAATGTGAGAAAAGAGAGCAACGCAGTTCCTCTAAAAT